TAAATTTTTATTATGAAATGTACTTGTGTTCCATATCCAATAAAAATTGCGTGCATCTATGTTTAGCCATTTATATCTGATATGGTTTATTTTATATTTTACAAAGTTAATAAATAAATTAAATCATTAAAGGGTTAATTATTGGTATATATTTGTACAGCAATAAAGGTTTTGAATTACTTTCTTTGGAGTTACTTGTGTTAAATTATTGGGTGATTTACTTTGATTATTGACAGTTATTCGAAAAAATAATTGAGCACCTTTGTATAGTTTATTAGTTACTAAACAATTAAATAAGGTCAGATAACCACCACCTACTTTATGTACAGACGCCAGTGTGGTAGAGTCAATTGGGATTTTATGTCCAGCATTGGGATCTTTTTTTCCAGAGACCAATTCGGTAGCAAAACATCCGCAATTAAGGTTGAATATGGGTCATAAGGGAGGAAATGGGTTGTGAGCATGCCTCTCCAGGAACCTCGGGGTTACAAAATTAATCCATCATTCAAACGATACTTGATAAAAAACCCACTCCTCGAAGAAAGAAGGTATAAAAGCTCTGTCTTTAGTAAAGGTTACTGGTACACAGAGCTGTGAGAGGACTTGCTCGAACATTTCTAGTGCTTCTGGACAAGATACTCCATTAGCCTTTAAGACAAAATATAAGTTATTTTTATACATATAATTCTGAAGTTTTAAGTAATATTAAATTGATACAACCAAGTTTCTATGTGTATAATAAGCAATTACGAATGTGTAATTGAAGATTGAAAGAGTTAGTAATTTGTGTATGATAGAATACCTTGGAATGATTTTTGTTATTATCATTGAAAGGAATTGTACTAACGAGGAAACTAAATTTTAATGTACTTACATGGGTCATATATTTCCCAGTCCGCTTTAGGACTTTCATTGAATAATTTAGAACAAGTCTGATAAAATCCCATGCATCACCATCTGGTAAAGTACTGAATGGTATATCTGTAAGATCTCCAAAAACATAATCGAATTGTCGGCCTTGCTCAATCATGTGCGCTAAGGCTTTTGCACAATCTCCAACAATAATCTAAAAAATTTTTATTGCACATAAATATTTCTTTAACTTTTGTCTAAAAATATCAGTTAGATAGTGAAATTTACCTCATAGTTTTCTCCCTTTCTTTTATCTAGACAGTCTCCACATATGCTTCTCATATGTTGACTGCAGGCTTTTATGACAACATCATCAATCTGAAGATAGAAAATCATTGATAGAATAATTTTATAATACTATGTTAAAGAATTTTACTATATCTTAAAAATTCAAGTAAACGTACTTCCAGCATTGTAACAAATTTTGGTTTCTCCTTAAGTAGTTCCCACAATAATCCTCCATCTCCTCCTCCTAAAATAACTATTTCTTTTCCTGCATAATCCTCTTTTCCACGCTGCATTAAAGTTTCAGTATAAATAAGATCTGCTTCAGAAATATCTGAAAATACATAATATATTATTACAAAATTTATAATACTGATTTAATTCGGATCTTAAAATTTCATTTCAGAAATTTTTAATTTTCATATTTCTTACTTTGTAATTCGTCGAGGACCAACAGATTTCCTAGTGATTTCGAGTGAACAATTTGCACTTTTTGATATGGTGAACGTGCTTCAAAGACCAACTTGTCTATGTCATATTCAAGTAGTCTGTCATCTTAAAAGAAAAAACAATTGTTCAATAAAAAGATTTTGTTGTACAAATTAAATATTGCATAAGAAAGCATTTAATAGATGCATGCAATGCAAAGCGCAAATATGTTAAAAGAATAATTTTTTCTTATATACACTAAAGTGACCAGCAATCAAAATATCAAGGATTTGGGTCTTTCAGGTGGATAGTACTAATCTATCTCATTATTTATAGTAATTATTATATATTTCTAATGTGTGTAGTATAAAAATTAGAGGAACATGTAACTTCATTCAGTGGATAAATACAGCTGTAAAGTGGAAGGTTAGTACTAAAATTTACAATTCTTAAGATTATTCAATACTCTGGAGTATGTTTGTCTTATATCTCTTTCTGTATTTGTTGCTTTCTTAGAAAACCATTCATATAGATACTGCAATAAAATTGGTGCAGTAAATATAAATTATTGAAATGGTTTCCTTTAATGGGGAAGGAAGTAAAAATGATATTATAATTTAAAGAAGGGGCATAAATAGTATTACTAACCGACATACAATTCTAATAAAATATATTGTTTTAAGGAATTAAAGTAAAACTATTATCATTTTCATCACGTAGAAAATAATTAAAAGAATGTTTACAGTTCAACGAAATAAGCCATATATAATCGAAGAAATTATTCCAAAATAATTATTTTTGACGACGCACGATATAGTTTATAATTATGCGGACACATAACTCCGCTCGTTCCGTAAACAGAATAATAAATAAAAAACTCACCGGCGGTAGGAAAGTATCTCTCAAAAGGTCCACCGCGTTTAATTGGTGTAAGCATGTGCGAACGCGTAGAGGCTGCTGCCGCCTGCAACGCCGTCTCCAATTCTTTGGTCAACTAAAGGTGGCCGCGATAAGCGAACCGATGAATAAAAAAAAAAACAGAAACTATCTTGTTAAACCAATCGTAACAACTCTTCTTTTACATATGCGTCATAAGGGTCATTTCAAATCCCTTGGCGGAAGAACCAAAAAAGAAATATCGGGGAAAAATACCGCGCAGACGGGATACAAATTAATCAATTGGAGCTGTTGGCGTTTTAGAGTGCAACGAAAACGATTCGCACATTCATAAGGTGCTATAGATAACTAAGTATGGGAACTAATTGGGGAAGCGGTTTCTACCTGATAGTGTCAGATAGAGGTCATATATGGTTCCTCGTCTTACTGGTGGCAGGCACTTACTGCGTTGGCTATTCAGAGCCATCGCAACGTCCGCTTCCAGGTATTGCCACTGCTACAAGGTCCTCTTTGTTACACGTGTTTCTTCCGCATATAGTAAAATTTCTACTTATTTCTATTGGCACTCATCAAACGATGACGATCTTTTACAACTATTTAACTTTGTGACTTTACTCTCTTATTCCAAAGACTGACGAATGAAAATCTCAAATGTTTTCAAGCAATGCTCGTTATATGGATAAGTTTAAATGCTTGGAAGCATGTTGCAAATGGCCATTCTCATAACTTCTTAACGAATTAATATGTAACAAAATATACCTTGTACTGACCCCATATTTGAGAGATACCAAAGCCGATTTCATATCTAATACCCATGAGAGGCAATAAATGTTATGAAGTTTGCAACTAGGTATTGCAAAATAAAACGATTATGGTAATTAATATAAGCAACTATACCTCAAAGTTTAAGAGTGCATCTTCATCGTCTTTTTTATAATACTCAATGTTAACAGTGATCAAGCCTTCGGTATATCCTCGAACAGTGATTAGACTACCTCTAGGACCCTCATAAAGGACTAAGAGATTTCCATCAAGATTTGGTTCAGTTAATGGCTTAAGTCCATCAAAATGCTCTTTGAGAACATTAGCAATGGCTACTTTCAAATTGGAACGCTTCTCTATGTCTGCTATTACATTTGATGGCACTGTGAAATCCAAGAGTACAGTATGGGCAACCATTGTGTATGAACCTGAAATAATTAATATCAATTATTAGTATAAAAAATTAATTACGACACATTAAAAATAGAAAATTTAATATATACAAAATATGATGTATGCTTAATAAAACTGCTAAACAATTTTAAATTTAAGCTGTGTTATACAGAAAGATTTGTGTTTAAATATTTCCTAGAAGTAACGCAAACTAAGGTTATGTTGTACTATCGTAAGAAAAGACAGGTTAAATTGACTTAATAGCTCTATGGCAATAAAACTGTTAATCGCACAATTAACTACATTAATAAATATTCATGTTTTCTGGCAATAAACAATTTTTTAATACAAGAAAAATATTGTAAATGATATTTCTCCTCTGTAAATATTTGATATAAATTTATATTTAATATAAACCATTAAAAAACTAAGATTTTAATATAGACACATAGAAAATAATAGCGAAGTTTAGGTATAGAGAAATGATATAAAATAAGTTTGATTAAAATTTATTGTGTTATCAAAATTAAAGAATGATGTTTATTAAATAAAATTTGCTTTGTATTATAGTATCGTAAACATTTATGAATTTTGATAATATAAATTAATATAAATGA